CTCCCAAAGATGTACTAGGTCTTATTTTCAGGGGATGTCTAATGTTTCCATGAAGAATGTGGTACACATTGTTTTATTAAGAGACCTCGCACTTCCTGTCTGCTCTAGCTGCGCTGCAGCCAACAGTGAACTGCGCGGCGGCGTCTGCCTCTATGGTCGTTACGGTAGCTTCAGGGGGGCTTATTTGGGGGGGGATGCCTTATATTTCACCGAGAGGCAGAACTGTAAGTAGGCCTTATTTTCAGTGGATGTCTTACTTTCAGGGAAACAGGGTAGGAGCCAGTATTACTTGGTAGCTGATACAGGATGTGTGAGGGCAGGGAGCAAGAGTTGTCTTTAAAGCAACTTTAGGAAGTCTTAACACGTCTAGCGGGTTTTATAAACAATCATGGTTAGAAGTGGGAATTGTTACAGAGAATCGCACAGAAAATCTACCGGTAACAAGTGGTGTCAGGTAGGTGGGAAAAGGAAAACTCTTAACAGCCAGTGCTTGGGAGCTCTGTTGAAAAAGATGTCAGAATACACTGGAGAGGGCAGCCAGGCTGTGTATCCAGAGAAGGCAGTCTCCTGCCCCTCAAGAAGCTCACAGCCATAAGCACAATATAGGAAAGGAGATGGGAACATACCGGGATGGGCAATAGGACGTTTAACCCTATTCCCTGAACCAGTGGTTCTCAACCTTCCTAACGCCACAACCCTTTAATACAGTTCATGTGGTGGTGACCTCCAACCAAAAAATTATTTTTGTTGCTACTTCCTAACACATTTTGCTACTGTTATGAAATGGGCAACACCTGTGAAAGGGTCATTAGACCCCCCAAAGGGGTCCTGACCCACAGGTTGAGAACCACAATGACTGGTTTAGGAACATGACCCCCATTTAAACCACAAACCACAGTGTCATTGGAAATGGCTTCTCAAGAGACAAGATTCAGCCCTTCTTACTCTTTACTGGATTCTTCAGGTTAGGCAAACATCTCCATTGTCAGAGGTAAGCCAGGTTACTGGCAAAGCCAAGCACCAAAGCAGCCAGGTGGAAAGAAACATGGGCCCTCAATGATAAGAGAACCACCTTGCGTCTACCTGAGCTCCAAACTTGGGAACGCCAATTTCCGTACTTTCTAGCTGGCTGTTAATTATTGCTTGGTAAGTACTATTACTTAAGCTAATGGCATGGAATACTGGGTTGGCTTAAGAAAATCAGGGGAAAATGAAAATGACACACACACACACTGCATGAGGACAGAGGCCTTCGCTGGAGGAAACCACTGCTTTGGCAGCTCCATCCCAGGGTGTATTACTAATCCATAAATATACTTTTCTGGCACTGCCAGTGGGAAAAGAGAATTGCAAAGTAACCCCCAGCATTAGCACACCAGCCTGAGGGGGTCAGGGTGCCAAATAATGGCGCAAGGATTTCAGTGACCAAGTTGTCTTGCCCCATACAGTGCTAGTTACTTGTTCATGAAAATTAATTTTGCAAGTGGGGTCCCCATGCAAGACCCACTGTGCTCTGGATGAGTAACAGTTTATGGGCATCAGCAAGCCAGTGTTTCCGTGACGAATGAGGCAGGCTTTAGATTACGCTTGGCCTTCTTGGTGATATCAAACTCCGTATCCTCAAAGGAGACTGGCGTCCCAAGCCTGCCCTGAGCATCCCTAGGGGCTACTCTGCTAGGTCTGGGGGTAGTGCTAACCTCTGAGAAGACTACCAAGAAAAACCATCAATAGGACAGAAGGAACAGGTGCTGGAGAAGCCAGGATGTGAGTCACAGCACATCTTCACCCCTCCATCTCCTAGAAGCTTCGGTTTGCCTGGTCTAAAAGCAAACCTCAGCTTCCTGCAAACCAGGTCTTCCGGATTCGCTATGGGAGGACCCAGGGGGTTGTCATGGTCAGAGTAGACCGGATGGCACTGTGCCCCCCGCCCCCTCCCCCCATCATTCAAATGATCCAAACTAAAACAATCTGATCTCATTTACCGCAAGCAAGCAAGGTTTGGATTTCTGTACTCAAGTGCCCACCCCCTCTACATCAGCTGTCTCACTACCCCAGCCCTCCACACATCAAGATTTTTGCCACCTTCTTTCCAATGCTCAGAGCAAACTGCTTTAACTCCCTCATTCCTGGCTCCCCCAAACCTGACAACACCCAAGTTTTATGGGGACAGGACTGACATGGGAATTTAAGCAGCAAGGCTGGGCTATGGGAGAGGAGACAGCGCCGACAGCAAGGCTCAGCACAACACTCAGTCGAATATAGATGATGTGCAGCCAGGCTCTCCCGAAGGCAAGCAGGACCCAGGAAAAGAAAGGCCCAGTAACAAGAGTCAACATTCACCAAGCACTAATCTGCCACTTCCGGTGCTGACCAATTTATCAACCTAGAACATGGGCTCCCAAACTGGCTGACTGCCGCTTTTCAGGAAAAAATTACTAGGCACCCCCACTCTGGCAATTTAAAAACATTTGTATAGCCCATTCTCCAGGATAAAGTGTACATAACTGTTTAGGCAGCCCACTCACCCCACCCCTGCCCTGTGGATTATCCCAGCACCCACAGGGCTGAGTCCCACCCCCTTTGGAAACTACTAACCCAGATCATAAGTATACACGAGGTCCAGAAAGTTGAGTAACGTGTTCCGATCATTTGAAGTGGGCTGGTGACTCAAACCTGTCAATCGGGCTACCTTATTCCAATACCACACGACACCACCTCCCCAAATGGGCTAACCTCATGGGAAGAATCAGTTAGCTTACAGCAAACAGTACCATTTGGGAAAGACCACTTGGAAGGACTGAAGGTCACACCCAACTGCAGGAGTCCCCAGGACTAGTCACTAATGAAGCTGCTGCGGCACATTTGTATCCCGTGCACCCTGGAGCAAGGTCTCGATGAACGCCCCTTCGGCAGCTGCCTCAATGTACATACCCGCCCCTTAGTCCACCCTACATCGGATTCTCAGACTGACACATGAATTGTACATAGTCGGCAGGCAGAGCAGGTCCTTTATGCAGGTCAACGTTCAAGCTGACACCAAGATGAGAGGTTCCAGTGTGGGAGCTTCCATTCCCCTCCCCCGAATCCTGATCCAACGGCTGCAAAGCCAAGGGGTTTGGTGCCGGGTGCTGGGTCATGGGCAATGGTGCTGCTGCGCTGGCCCTGCAGTGGGGCTACGGGAGCGTGTCACTTCTTCACAATCTGAATGACATCTTCATCCTCCAGCGTGTGATCTTTCCCCACTTTCTGAGGGTTATGTTTCACAGAGAGACCCCACACCAGAGCGCTGAATGGAAGAAAAAAAGCAGTTGGTGAACATCGTAAGCCAGCATCTGTCCTATCTGTCTCAGTGCCACCCTTCTGCTCAGATTCTGTATCCCAGATCTGAAGAGGCGCAAGCCTGCAGGCAAGTGCCTCTCCCAGGTTCAACATCACACTCAATGCCAAGGCTTTAGTTTTCGCAGTTGTGCAGCACCCGGGGCCCTATAGCCTGTTTAAGGCCAAGCAGGAAAAAGCACAAACAAGCAGCTTAAGAAGCCTAGTAAAATTAAAAGGAGGAAGCAGGGGGTTCTTCATCAGAAAAGCAACCTGCAATAATTCTGAATGGACATTGATTCTTAAATATTTAAATGTCAGTTACAGATTTACAAATACCCGCTTTTTATTGGTTCAACTCAAACCACCCGTGGTAACTGATAAGAAATAGAGGACTCTCCCTTCTTTAGAAAATGCTCTCCCCTATCAAGAAACCATACAGGTGTCTTATTGATTTCTTGTAATATATGAAGGTATTTTATACCTATAGGCCCCTAAGACAAAGGATGAACATTGGTAAACAAGAGACTGAGACCTAGACTCACAGAGCTAACAGTGTCTCCAGGGTGGCCCTGATGGTTAGGGATTACGTCAACTAGACACTCCTGGTAGGGGTAGGGGCAGAGCCCGACCTAACAACTGTCATCAGCCCTTTTCTGAGAATGAGACACTGGGAACTCTCTGCCCTATGCCTTTCTCCTTGCTGGGAATCTGCCTGCTTCCAGAGGTGATCCCCTATGGGCCGCCCAACCCTGAGAGCTGTGGGCAACCTGCCATGTTGACACTGGCCCTGGACCAGCGTGTGATCTTCCTGCTTCATCTTTCTGGGTCATAAGCCTGTAGCTACGTGAGTTTGAAGATGGCTCTGGCGTGGCTTGGACTTAGGGACTTGAGTTGGATTGGACTGAGATTCCTTCTTGGTATTTAGATTATTTCTTGATATAAAGCTCCTTACATGAGTGTGGGATGGTTTCTCTAAACAACCAGCCTAACATAGTAGCCATAGTATTTATATATATTCTCTTTGAGCCAAAAGTTATTTTTTTAAAAACATTAAATGAGGTACTACTAAAAGAGGGGGGTAGCTGTTAGACTCACCGCCGTCAAGCCCATTCTGACTCACAGCAGCCCTACAGGACAGGGTAGAACTGCCCCTGTGGCTTTCTGAGACTG